ACGTGACCACGGGGAGAGAGACATGCAAACTTTAAATATCCAGGTGTCGAGGTCGGGATCAAACCCACGACCGCCTGCACATCAGGCGAGGGAGTTGACATGTTACCACCGTGGCAGTGGATGAACAGGGCAGGGGATTTGTGAAAGTTACCTTTTGCTTGAACAGCTGGGCCAGGAGATCAAATCAGGATTCAAGTCCAGTGTGATAATGAATCATATTACCATTGCAGCATGGGAATATTCTTCCTGGTGGCACAGATGCTGCCTTAAAATAATACATCTACGTGTAGAAACATTTTGCCAAGAGATTAAATAAATTTTTTATAACAGGCTTCTGCAGAAATGAATAAGCTATGCACAACTATTATCTTAAATAATAGGATTTCTGAACATTGGAGCATCATTTGTAAGTACATAATTGCACTTGTTCATCTTTTTATGGTACCGTGAGCTGTGGCTGGGTGTGTTTGAGAAGCATTTTGCATTCCTATTATCATCTGCATGTAATCGAAGGGACAAAAGGATTACGTAAAATGAGAGAGAAAAATTACAAAACATTATATATTTTTAGTGACCCTGTAACTTTCCTTTCACAAAAAAGTTAATCGGTTCAATTCCACAATTTATTATCATGCCAGTTCTCCCTGACATCACGACAATGACCGAACAGCACAACTATTTCTTAAATCGTTTATGCCACGTGTAATTATTAACACCAAGTCCATGCATTCATTGGTGATAGCTCACTGTTATTGTTATGGATGTCCAGAGGCTGGGGTGAATTTGGCGTGGTATTAAGTGAGGAGGCTCTCCATGGTCAGTTCTAAGGTTACAATCAAGAGCATAAAGGATATTTATTTACTGAGATAGAAATACAAATACTGCTTCTGGTAAGACAACCGCGCCATCCACCTGACCCTCTCCCTCTGTATGCTTGGACTTGTAACTTGTACTCTGGCTCCATTCACTAGTCATTTCCGGTTGCACCTCATAACCCATCCTTCCTTATCATCCCTTCCTCTCCTTCCCCTATCTATGAGAGGGGTGATCGGGAAAGATACTGGACGGAGTATGCAGAAGTGTTACCAAGCTGTCACATTAAAACCTGGGCCTTCGCTTTGTTTTTGTGCTAACGCTTGGGAGGTCCACAATACAGCTGCCAAGTGCCCCCAAAGTTCGGCCCTGTCTCCCCCGGGTCTCCACTTAAAAAAAAAATCTGACTGTGACCCCTGGCATGTGTCATTTCACTGCCATGCCCCCCCCCTCCCAGGCTCCTCTTCCCAAAATACTGTCCATGCCCTTGCACATTTGTTCTGAATTTGCAAGTCAGCCAATGATGCGTTGTTATCTAATCTTGATGAATGTTACGCTAGGCTGGTCAGATTTATTATTTCCTATTTCAATAGTCACCATTGTGCTACATTATAAATTATTTACTGTCCTACCGCCGCACCTTTGATTAGCATGGTTGGCTACGTGCGGTGCAAAAGCAGTTCAACATACATACATAGATGCATTATTTACACATTGAATTGTTCATTCCTTTCGTTTATATTTTACGTTGACTGATTTTAGATATTAAAACTAGTTTTGAGAGACTCACTGCACATCTGGTCACAGTGTAACATATTCATATTCCTCGATTTATCTTACTTTTTTGAGAGGTAATGAGACATTGCCAATAACCTAACAACCCAGAATGCTCCTGATCTCACAAGATCTTGGCAGATAAGCAGGGTTCAGCCTGAAAAGTGCTTTGATGGGTGAGCAAAGTGTATTCACACATTATTGTGTGGGGCTACGTGGTGAATAACATCGGGTAATGAAGTAAAAACTTTACCATTATAGTACAATAATGAAATGTTCCCACAGCTATGTTCCCCGCCTTCACCAACGTGCACTGCCCCGGCACGGTGAAGCATGGTAAAATAACCCCCACTGCTCACAAGTTGTGGGGAGACCGTCATCCAGCAGTAGATTAACAAGGGAGAGTGTACATGGAGACAATGATAGCAACGTTGTGATTTTTTACAAAAATCGATTTTTTTGTTTGTAGCCCCTGAAAAAAAACATTTACGACGTCCACTAAAAATCTGAGTGAAGCAGATGCATTTCAAACAAGGCATTGTGAAGCTTTCTGGAAGTATATGTTCATATTTGTGATATTATATATTGTACATGCAATGTGAATGATGCTACGTACAAAACAACTTGGATATGTTTTTATCATCCAGCTTAGCAGCATTGAAGCAAATGAAGTAATTACCCAGCTGAGATATAGACAATATGAGGTTAACAAAGGTGGTGCCTATGTCTGAAATCTGTCATTTTTGTACTCTTTGACAAATCACTGCCCCTTGTCCTGATACGATGCCACCAACGCAGTTTCATGTCACTGGAGATTTTCATGCCTTATAAATCAACTGGCATGGCTTGCTGAGGTCCAGATGGTCCAAGCAGAATAATTGACAAAGCCACCGGGATTGCCTGAAGTGCATCAGAGCAAGAATATGACAAATACCTTTTGCAGTGAAGCAGAGAAATCTACAGATGTAGGAGAAAAAAAAAACACCCTCCTTTGTAAAAATGCTGTAGGGGCTGGTGGCATGTATATTGTCAAGTACCTCGAAAGGTTGCCGTTACAATGTCACAGACAACAAACCTGTTGAAACGCTTTCGTACCGAGGGACACCGCTAGAGGGCAGTTGACAATAACCAATTGCCATTCTGGCAATAGCAAAGCCACGACCTCCAACCTATACAAGCATCCCTCTGGCAAGCTTCAGGTGAATATTGAATAAGACAAACGTGCGAATGAGGCCACGAGGGCCCAGGTAGCGGGACCAGGGAGAAAGGATAGGTAATGCGGAGGAGATTTTTTTTATTTGTTTCAAAGATATTCGTATTTTATTAAACAAAGGCGTATGCAATAGTATTCCAATATTTTTTGGTAGACAAATCCAAAATGGTGTTTACATTTTATTTCTTCACAAGTACCAACCCAAACATGTATGTGATTTCAGTTTGAGAGTGGAGCTTAGAATTATCTTGTCCAGGGATTCAATTCAGGTGGAGCTGGGCGGGGCTAAGTTTCGGAAAATATTTCCCCGACATGGGGGAAAGGGGTGTTTGGTATCTTGGAAAATATTCCTTGAAAATGTAAGCAAATGTTCCTGTTCATGCGAAGCACAATGAGACATTTTATTCGCCAAGACATCGTCCACAAATCGTTGTTACTCCGCGCGACATTGCAGCGTGTTCCGTCGCGAATTGTCACTTTGATAACAAAAGCACAATTGGAACATCGTGTTATTATTCGAATGTATTATTTTACTGCCCCCATTGTTTAAACTGACATTTAATTTGCCTCAATGTACGCTACTGCTAACAGCGCTTAATTGACACAATTAATCGTGTTTGTTCGGACAACAATTCTTGGATAGGGTTACCCCATCTTCGGGTGGTCCGTACAACCCTGAAACTCCCAAGCATCGCCATTGCAAGTGAGAGGGATGGGCGCCGCGCCTTTCAAGGTGCAGGTGCTGACACGTGCATTCTGCCACAACAAAAAAAATGACGCATTCTGGAATGTAAATACACACGCGCACGCATTAGTCATCAGTGCTAACGGGGCAAGTTTTACGAATGTGAATGTCAAAGTGTCAATTTAATGACAAAGACGCACGTGAACCCCCAAACAAAGAGGCCCCCTAAAGTAAACATTAATTGAGTGCGGCAATCAGCTAAATAACGCTGCCCTTAATAAAAGCGCTTCAACGAGAGGGATAACCTTCCAAGATATCAAAAGAGCAAGCAGCGGAGGCGAGGTCGCATGCATTTTAAATCCAATTAAGGCTTTCACAATCACGGCAATCACATTTCGCGAATGCTAATGACACGTATAACCAAACGTATATTTATGTATTTGCAAATAACTAAATAAGACAACGTCCTAACGCTAATGGAACGGCGGTGATTAGGGTGTGGCTGGAGGTACGAATGAGAGGTTAGAGAGAGCAACAAAGCACAAAGGGGAGAGTGGGAGAGCGGTGCTGGAGAGACTAGACGGGGAGGGGGGAGAGAAGTGGGTGGTGTATTTGGGTGGGAGTGGTGGGTGGTGTAGGGCTGTGTCTGCGTGCGTCTTTGTGTGTGTGCGCGCGTCTGTGTGTGGATGGGTGGGGTGGGTGCGAGTGGGTTGGTTGAGTGGCTGAGTGGGTGAGGTGGGTGGTGGTCGTGCAGGTTTCAGGGGAGGGCGATTGGTGTGGGGGATTGATGAGATGGGGGGGGGATGGGATGGGGGGGTGGAGGGGGTGATGGATGGGATGGGGGGCGGGGTGATGGGATAATGGGGTTGATGGGATGGGGGGGATGGGGGGGGTGATGGGATGGAGGGGGTGATGGGTTGGAGGGGATGGGGGGGGGATGGGGGGGGATGGGGGTTGATGGCATGGGGGGGTGTGATGGCATGGGGGATGGGATGGGGGGTGATGGGATGGGGGGGACGATGGGATGGGGGGGGGGTTGATGGGATGTAGGGGGGGGTTGATGGGATGTAGGGGGGGGATGGGATGAGGGGGGGGCTGATGGGATGAGGGTGGGGGGTGGTGGGATGGGGGTCAACGTGTCCTGTGTGTATGTATGTTTTTATTTTGGTGAGTAGGATCGGTTGAGTGGGTGAGGGTGGATCGTGGTGGAAGGTTTAGGATGAGGATAATGGACGAGGGGGAAGGTGTTCGTCCGCGTCGATGTCTTTGTGTAGGGTCGTGTTTTTGGGTGGGGTGGGGGTGTGTGCATTGGTCGAGTGACGGAGGGGCTAAGTGGGTGAGGTGGCTGGTGGAGGTTTGAGAGGCGGTGGGGGCGGTATTGGTTGGTGTTGCGGGGGAGGGGAGAGGTGGTGTTGGTGGTGGGGGGGGGAAGCTGTAGTCTGCCTGTGGGAGATGCTGCCTGGCCTCTGTCTCCCACCCCCCCCCCCCCCAAATTGAGAGCAGGAGGAGCAGGAGGAGGAGGAGGCGGAGGCTTTTTGGGCGGTCGCGTCTCGCCCGCCACCCAATGAGCTGGCGGGGAGCGCGAATTAGCGACGTGACGCGCAGGAGCCATAGGGCGCATAAACGGAGGCGCGGGGCAGCGGCCAAGGCGGAAGGCAGCAGGGAGTAGGAGGAGGAGAGAGAGAGAAGGAGGGAGTAGTAGTAGGAGGAGGAACGGACGGAGCCACTCTCTTCACCCTCTGCTCGACTTTTGTGTGTGTATTAGACAAGGCGCACAGACGGGGGTGGTGTGAGAGCGAGGAGGGGTGGGGAGAGAGGACGGGAAAGCGGGGAGGAGGGTTTCAGTGGCTGGAGAAGGAGACTGAGCGAGAGAGAACAGGAGTGGAGGGGCAGACGGTATAGAGAAGGAGGAGGAGGTGGTGGTGGTGGGTACTAGTGCTGTAGGGGGCGGCTGCTGTGTTTTTTTTCCTTTCTCGAATGCGTTCGGAACAAAGGAAGCCAGCGACGTCTGCGGCTTTTCGCGACTCCCTGCCACATCGACTCCTCCGGCGCTGTCCGGACGCGCGAGAGTGAAACACCGCGCGTGGAGCGGCGGCCACTCCAACAACACCATCACTCTAACAACAACACCATCACTCTAACAACACCACCACTCCAACACCACCACCCCAACACCACCACTACCACTCTAACAACACCACCACCACCCCGGCTGCAGACGACAAAGGAAGCGAATCGGCCGACTCGAGACGCCCGGCGCCCCTCCGCAAGGGGGACCCACGAGGCGAGGGGGTGGAGGACTGCCACCTCTGGGGGGTGTGTGGGGGGGTGGTGGTGGTGGTGGGTTTCTTCTTCATTGGGTCGCGAGATCTACGAGCGCACACGGTAGTAGTAGTTGTTGCGTTTGGTTCTCCGATGAAATTTTTAGAAATAACCACGACGAGCGACATTTAATTTAACTTCGCGGCCGAACCAAAAGGAGAACGCCACCTTTGTGTGCGTGCGAGGTGGCGGCGGTGGTGGTGGTGGCGGCGGTGGTGGTGGTGGCGGTGTCTACGAAGCCGGCTGGCGCACAGAGAGCGACGGGGACACCGCTGCGGTGACGGACGGCGCTAGGTCGGCACGGACAAGAGACCGAGAGCGAGGCCCGCAAACAAAGAAGACGAAACGAGCGGCAGCGAGAAGCCACGCGGCCGAGCCGGCGGCGATTTTTTTATTTCCCTGCAGCGCCACGAGGGTGTAGTGTGTGTAGTGTTGTGTGTTTGGTGTGTAGTGTTGTGTGTGTGTGGGGTGCACGAGGGGCGGAAGAGCGCAACGCCAGGAGCCAACCCGAGTGAGAATCAGGAGGTTGATTGGGTAGTGGTGGTGGTGGTGAAATAAGAAGAGGAGAATTTGTTGTGGAGCGGGTGAGGTTTTAGAAGGAGCGGCAAGCGATCGTTAAGAGACTCCCACACACACACAAAGCCATGCCGAGCTCGCTGTTCGCCGACATGGACGGCAGCGGCCTGGGTGTCGTCGTTGGAGGAGGAGGAGGAGTGGTGGTGATGGGAGGCGAGGCCATGGACGAGCAACGCGCCCTGCAGCTCGCCCTGGACCAACTCTCCCTGCTGGGGCTCGACCACGAGGAGGCCGTCAGCGCCTCGGCCACCGCCGCCGGCTCCCCGTCGCCCTCGTCCGGCGGCGGCGTGGTGCTCCTGCAGGCAGGGCCCGTGCAGGTGGCCGGTGGAGGACCTCAGTCGTGCGTGACGTCCTGCTCGTCCGCCTCCTCCTCCTCCTCGTCGTCGTCCTCCTCCTCCTCGTCATCGGTGTCTTCGTCGGCGTCTTCCTCGTCGTACTTGTGCGGTGGCAATCCGGGCTCTGACGGCGGTGGGATCGGGGGTCCCGGCGGCAGCGTGTGCATCTACACCGGAGAAGTTGGCCCTGACCCGGGCTGCATGTTCGAGGGTGGAGGAGGTGGTGGAGGAGGAGGTGGAGGAGGAGGTGGTGGTGGTGCAGGACGCCGCAGCGTCAACATGACCGAGTGTGTGCCGGTGCCCAGCTCGGAGCACGTCGCTGAGATTGTCGGGCGGCAAGGTGAGCCGAACGCTGCGTTCCTGCACCACACTTGACAAGAGTAATCGCTTGGTGGTCGTGGTCGTTTGTGTTTGCGCTGATTGTCTGAGTGGTGGTGGTGGACACGACCACTTTCTGTAGTACAGCAAACTGCACACACCCCGCGCCCCCATTCATCATCAGCATCGGTGCTCACATTCATTCATGTACTCCCAACTCTGTGCAGGCGGCGATATCCTATTGAGATATCGAGGAGGTGGTGGTGGTGGTGGGGGGGGGGGTCCCTAACTCGTTTCTATACAAAAAGTATCTATGCACGCGTTGATGAGGCGGAACGTGCACACAGATGTTGTAGACAAAAGGCATTCGCCCACTCGTGCGCCATTTGGACATCGGGCGCAAGGTGTGCGCACATGGCACGTGTCGCCTCACTGGTTGCGGTACTTTTTGTGCACAGCCCCTTGCCGGGTTGTTATGCATTGCTACGCCGATTAATAAATGGGCACTGTACGTAAACGCCAACGCGTTTTTTTGACGTATTTAAAGAGACGCGCACGGTAGCCGTCCAGTACTTTTGTTTGTTTGGGCCTGCAGCTAGGGGCTAGTGAAGGGTGTGTGTGTGTAGGGGGGGGGGCTCCCATTGCAGCATAGTTTTCATCGCCGATTCGTATGTCCGGGTATTGTTTGAAGCGCTCGTAGTTGCTGTATTTGTGGTGAATGCAGTTGCGCTTTCTAGACAATAAAAATATGGCTGACTGCTGGTGAGATGTTTCCTTGCCCTACTTAACGACGTACACTGGGGAAGGGAGGTGGAGCTGGTAGGAAGGAGGAGGAGGTGGTAGGGGTGGGTTGGGGGTGATGTTGGAAGTTGCCCCTGATTCATGGGAAGGCATGCTTTGCCAAAACTGTCGAGTTTATCCACCTGCCTCAACGTTTGCATACTGCAGCAACTTAAATGTTTTTTTTGTTTTCCTTTTGCATTTTATGCGTTGCAGTTTTTTTTTGTGCACACGTGTGGTAACTTTCTGGCGTTTTCCCCCCACCCACCCACCACCCCCCCCGTGTCATTTTTGCCTTGCTGCTGGGGGGAAAAAAAAGGTTGCAAAATCAAGGCCCTCCGTGCCAAGACCAACACGTACATCAAGACGCCCGTGCGAGGCGAGGAGCCATTGTTCGTGGTGACGGGCCGCCGGGAGGACGTCGCCCTCGCCAAGCGGGAGATCCTCTCTGCCGCCGAGCACTTCTCCATGATCCGGGCGTCGCGCTCCAAGCCGGGCGGCGGCGGCGGCGGTGGTGGAGGCGTGTCGGGGCCTGGCGTGCCCCCGCCGCCCAACCTGCCGGGCCAGACCACCATCCAGGTGCGCGTGCCCTACCGCGTCGTGGGCCTCGTGGTGGGTCCCAAGGGCGCCACCATCAAGCGCATTCAGCAGACGACGCACACCTACATTGTCACGCCCAGCCGCGACAAGGAGCCCGTGTTCGAGGTCACGGGCATGCCCGAGAACGTGGACCGTGCCCGCGAGGAGATCGAGGCGCACATCGCCCTGCGCACTGGCTGTGGCCCCCTGGAGTTCAACGAGAAGAACGACTTCCACACCAACGGCACCGACGTGGGCTTCGAGTACGGGGGCAGTGGTGGCGGGGGCCTGGGCAGCCTGTGGATCCGGCCGACGCCAGGGCCTCGCAGGGCCATGAGCTTCGCGAGCTACCGACACGACAGCGGCAGCTCCATGGGCAGCGGTGGCTCGTCCTCTTCGGACTCGTTCTTCAACGGCGCCAAGCTTTCAGAGTTCAGCCCCATCAGCCCGTTCACGGGCAGCGGAGGTGGCAGCGTCGGCAGCAGCAGCAGCAGTGGCAGCGGCGCTAGCTCCGGCTTTGTTTTCGAGAGCGCCAGCTCCATCAACTCCGACGACCGAGACCTGGGATTTGAATCCCCGGGTTTTGACCCCACCCCGGGCTTCGACCCTGCCCAGGTGCCCGCCACCGCCGCCACCATCGTGTGGTCGCAGTTCGCGGGGGGCGAGCGCTCGGTCGGCGCGGGCGGAGGCTGCGGCGGCGGCGGCGGCGGCGGCGGCGCCAACGGCTTCGTCATGTCTTCCCGGCGCAGCTACAGCCTGAGCGGCGGCACTGCCACACCGCGCCTCTCCCCGACGCTGTCGGACAGTGGGCCCAGCGCGTCCGTCGACCACCCGCTGGCGCGGCGCGCGCGCAGCGACCCGCTGGGCATACCCGGCTACAGCTCGGCAGCGGCCTCCGCCTCTACCTCGCCGGGGGCCTCGTCGGGCACCGGCTCGACCACCAGCGGTGGCGGCAGTGGCAGTAGCGGCTGCGGCTCGTCGCGGCCCGGCGGGGGCTCTCGCGACTGCCTGCTGTGTGCCGAGAGCGTGGTGATCGCGGCGCTGGTGCCCTGCGGCCACAACCTCTTTTGCATGGAGTGTGCCAACCGCATCTGTGAAAAGCCCGATCCCGTCTGCCCGGTCTGCAAGACCTCAGTCACTCAGGCCATCCGCATCTTTTCCTAAGAGCGCTTTTATATCTACACTATATTATATATATTCCTTCCTCCTGTTCTCTCTCTCTCTCTCTCGTCAATATAAATATAATAATTTTGCGATGTCGACTTTGCAAGTGCAGTAGGATAAAAGTAGGTTACACACATGTGCAGTTGCTAGATGGGGCATGTATTGTCTTCTCGTAAACTGTTGGTATGATATGATGCAGCAGTAGTTTAACTGTTGACGAGCCCAGACTGTTCTTTAGAGTAGCGTAGAGGTGAGATTTCAATGTAATTTTTTTATAATCAAGTGTAATGTCCTAAAAGTTTTAAATGCAAAGCTTTACTATTATGTCTTGTATAGGCACAATGTATTACTATATTGAACAACCACAAAGGTCATCTTCCATATTATAGCGTCTCAAATATATTTTATTCTTTTTGACTTGAAAGATTTTTATATTTCATACAGGATGTTTACAGCAATGATTTTATTTAAATGTTAGTAAAGCCAATAGCTGGGTTTTATTTTTTTCAGACTGGGAATTTTAGTTTGTACTACACTGGTAAGCATTCATTAATATGTAGGAGGTTTTTGACAGTATTCCTTTAGTTTATGAATTTATATTATATTTTGACATGCTATTTTTTAATGAAAAATGTTTAAAGTTTAAACCCAGCATATATTTTGGTGTAAGAAATGTTTATTCTATATAAAGCGCAAAAGCCAATTTTAAAATTTTAACAGACAACCAGGTTAGTTGTGCTTTAACCTATTTGTGTAAATAGTAAGTATAAATAGGATTTTGTTGCACCAGTATAGTTTAGTATATTTTATTGTTTACTACTCAGTTTTTGTATATGTAGGATGAATCTGGCAGAAATACAGTTTTAAAACTGGAATATTTTATCGAAGTCCTTTTAACCTCACTTGGTAAAATTACTAATGTTATATTTGAAATGTTGTACTAAGAGTTTTATTTTTTTGACGAATAAAGTTCAACCAAGATGACTTGGCAGTCTTTGGTGTGTTGGTGTGTACAATATGCAGATTCTCACGCGGATGGAAACGTTTGCTCCTCGAGCATGTTAAGGATTTTCTGCTTAAATCCCATATTTATCAACCGAATTCCTTGTAAAGCAAATGAGCACCCGATTCAAACTTGTACCCATAGTGAACTGCATGACCCTCTGCCCCGGGCATTGCAATGCATGCAGTGTTTAAACGAGCCAATTTTATTAAAAGGCAATGTTTTTTTTTCTTCCATAACGGTTGGTTTGGCTGTCTGGCACTTATCTGGTTTTTAAGTCCTTTTGAGAACTTCATCTCATCAGACATCTTCACATCCCTCCAGTAGCAGCAGGGGCTTGGCTTGAGTTTCCAACAAATCCCAAGCCACAGGGCATTGGAGCCTGCGCCCTGTCTCAAACCTGTTTGTTTGGCAAGCCATGCTTGTTGCTTTAGGCCAAGTAGGGGCCAAACAAAGCCCATTTCAAAACAATGCAAATATAAAGCCCATACCTTAAGTTTTTTTTCCATGCCCTTGATTAGGTATGTGACCTTATAACATACCACACATTACGCATTTTTATTGTATAAACAAATCGAGCAAATGCTTGCATTGGCAGCTTCGACTGCCTGAATTATGTTACTTTTGCCGTGCAATTAATATATCCCAATAGTGAAATTCTCCAATTGATCGTTTTTTTTTTTTAAAGAATGCCTGTGGCTTATCATAGCCATTTCCAACACCTACAGCAGGCTGAACATGCCCACGCCCCCCGCCACTACCCACCCAAGACTACTTGTGCAGCGAGACTTCAAGCCCATTACTTGCCAAGTGACTGTCTGCTTCGGGAAGTGTAAAGCTTGTGCCCGACGAGAAACCACAGCCCACATCCTCGGCATGGGCTCTGCTGATAAAACTTCATTTTCCACCCCTTGTCCTTTGTTTCCTGCGAGCTTGAGCGTATTGACAACATTGACATTTCCAGCTCTGCATTAAAACATAATATGGGGGGGGGGCGGGCTTAATATAACACTTGACAAGGCCCAACATGTGTCTGGGCAAAGCAATACATAATGGTTGCAAAGCATTCGATACTCCTTATATACATACCGCTTGATGGCCATCAATTATGACTGGCTCCCTGTAGCCAGCTGCAATGGAAGATAAAAATGTAGAATGACTAAAACATTGGCAGGTGTACGCACGTGAGCATTTTACAGAAAGTTTATGTACCTTTCCGTCTGGATCCGCTCCACAATATTGTGGTTAAAATGAGGAATCGTTTGGCGCCTTAAGAGCATTATGGGGTGGGATGTTTCACAACAAGGATGTTTTCAAGAACTTTCACACGAGTATATTGTTATTCTTGGTTCTTTCGGTAAAGTCACGTAGAAGGGAAACAATAAAATAAAAATATAAAACAATACAATTTTCACGACGTTTCGACTGCAACACAAGCAATCATCATCAGGTGTGAAAACAGCACGATATATTTTTTAAAAAATTATAATGTTCTTGCTGTGGTTTTCACACCTGATGACGATTGCGTGTGTTGCAGTTGAAACGTGAGAATTTTATTGTTTTATATTTTTATTATTTTATTGTTTCCCTTCTACATGACTTTACCGAAAGAACCAAGAATATGAATCCCTGCAGTCACGAAAGCTTTAAATCAAGAGTATATTGTTCTTTAAGCTAAACGTTCGCCATGCACAACAAAAACGTTGCACAAAAATCCAAAAGCCTTTTATCATAAGAATAGCATATTTTTGAAATGAAAATGTGCATATTATTTAACAAAATTAAATCAATTGGTATTCACGGTAAGGTTCAGGACGGGTGAAATGATTAATAGATTAATATCAGTTCTTAGGCTTGCGATGCACACGCGGAATTGTGTAAGAATGATTTTCAATTAATTTATTCTCATGCATTCAAGTCAACCATGCAGCCACTCGAGACGCTACTATTTACAAGCTAAAAAATAATAACTTCTTGAATCGAATCATGACCCTGAATCGTGACTAATCGAATTGCTGGAGCGAGGGGAGGGGACGGTTCATTCCACCCCGAAGGCTCGGTGTGAGCCACGTCCATGCACCTCCGATTCGCGCGGTTGGCTGCGTATGGTACGAAAGAAGTTCAACAGTCTTCGAATATCAAGTCAATACAATAATGCTTCGTCAATCCACTGCTGGCCTCCCTATGGCTTTTCAGTCATGGGGGTGGTTTGACTACTTTGACTAGCACGCTGGTAACTGTGACTTGCTTGTGGGGGTCGGGCAACCCAGGACCAGTTCAGATATCACTCGCCACTGATGTCAGCCGTGACTGGGAATTGAGCTCAGGTCACCGGGTTCATACCGCAGTGCACGATTCACTGCGCTACCGCCCCACTGGGTGTGCTAATGCACGATAGTTAATCTGGCATGGTAGAACAATGGCAGGGCTCTCCAAGGTCACGAGTTCAAATCCCGGTTGGGGGTTGACTCAATCCGTCATCCCTCCAGGGTCAACACTGCACGTTACTCTTTTGTGAGACGTCTGATACAAGAAATGGTCTTATTCATAGGAACGTGGAACTTCCACCACTGGTACAGAGCCACTAACGGAGATGAGAACCAGGTATTATTATTCTCTTAAGTGTGGGTATGGCACTGACATAACTGGCTTAGCTGAATCTATGGAATTTAACGTGTGGCCTGAGGGCATTGGGGAGGTAGCAGTGAAAGCTTCACCGCCACATGTTTTGGGAAGGAAGTGGTTGGATGGTGAACTGTCCTGGGATATTTTCAGGGCACCTGCTGAATAATATATATAAAATATATATTTTAAAAAACAGACAGTTCAGAGGCCAATATGCTATTAAACCATTACTTGCCCTCAATGCCCTCCGATTGCCAGGGGGACTTCCAGCCTGAAACGTACTCTTTGCTTACAGCTACCAGTGTGTACTCCACAAACTCACAGAGATGTACTATTCCTTTCTTGATCATGTTTTCAGATTGTTTGGTAAAGTCAATAAGTGAACAAAAACTGTGTTTCTCTAAGTACGATATACAGTATATATTTTCAATTTTAAAAGTGTTAAGATTTATTACTGCAATTATAGTTGTACCTTTTATCATAGCTTCGAAGATCTATAAGTCGACATTCATAATTTTTATGGATTAATCTAAAAATATCTTTGAGGATGTATGCCTTTTCACCTAAACCGTGACGTAAAGATTGTTACCGTTACAACACCACGGTTTTATAATTCCAAGCAAAGTAAAGCAGCACAACCACAAAGCACTCCGGTTTCATGACCGTGCATTGCTTGATTAAAAGAACACTGAACCCTCTCCACGTACAATGCTTGCTTTTACAAGAAACTAATAATGGCTACCTCAAGGCTGAATGTTTTCTCTATTGGGCAGATACTTTCCCTTTTAATACATTTAGTGATAATTTCAATGTGCTTGAGCAAAAAACTGCAGAGCTTTAGGGAAATTCCTTAAAAAACCATTTAGTTTCTTTTCCGCTAATAAAATTGTGCTGGGTAAAATAAAAGCAGTAAAACCACCATTCTAGAGCGAATGACTCTCCAAGGGTTCAATGTTTATAACACAAAAGAGATTCTTCTTCAACAATTATCATAATTGGAGAATTGTAGGGTGGGGGCAAGAGTGGTGGGTAGAGAGCAAGGGTGGGAAAAACGCCATTTTTTTGCCCGACAAATCGGGTTATTGGTTTTAATGGAATTAAACCCGATTTTGCCGATTAAAACCTGGTTTTATTATCGGCGTCTCGTGCACACTTCAATCCTGCCCCTCGTCGTCGTCGTCGCTCTCGCCGCTGGACTCGGCGTTGTCGTCGTCACCGTCGTCGGGTAGTCGTGGAACACGTTGAGGTCCGACTTAATGAAGACGAGCCTCTCGACTTGTGTTGGGCGCCAGGCTGTTCCTCAACTTGGAATGGATAGATCCCATCGTCGAGAAGTTTCGCTCAGACGCAGCAGCGGCGGTCGACGTGGCCACGCTGAACAGTTCGATGGCTGATCTTCTGGAGCTGCGGGATAGTCGCTTCCGACGAGTGGCGAACTGAAGACGAAAGTCTGGGCGAGGGCCGAGCGCAGCGCGTGGCTCCGGGGCCCCCGCTGAGCCCGGGCCCCGGCCCGAACGCCGCTTATGGGGTGCGTGCGACTGAAATCCCGACTTAACTTTAATAAAACCGAATAAAACCGGATTTGGGCAGGATCCAGGTGCTCCGGTTTTATATAAAAACCGATTAAAACCCGAATGAATAAAACCGAGCCGTGCCAGCCTTGGTAGAGAGCGCATGAGGAAGTAGGGGGGGGGGACTGGGTGGGGGGTGAATGTGGGTGGTGTCGGGGGGGGGGGGCAATTGATGGGTTGAGGATGAATCAGCTGTGGTTGAGGTTTTAATACATTCTCATTTATTTGTACTCTCGGTTCCTGCAAAATGAGGATCAATTCTATTATTGGTCTTTTATTTAAAAACGGAATAAAAATGTTATATTTGTTGTTTTCATGAAAAAATACACTGCAGAATTATGTACGTATGTATGTTGAACTTCTTTCGCGCCGTACGTAGCCAACCGCGCTAATCGGATCAAATTATATCGGCTCTCTTTGATCAAACTGTACATAGCAGAAGTAGTATATATAATGCTGGAACATTTAAAACGTGAACATAGCAAGAATGTATAGTGTTTGCCAAGTGGCAAAGCCACCCGCTGACAGAGGTTATGCCAAGTGTCAATAAGCTGTTTTATTAAATGCTACATTTACCACGCACAGATTGTTGCTGTTTTTATTTTTTTCTTCCTGAGAACCATTTAATAGATATATAGTGCTTCTGTAGGTTGTATGGATTGATGATTCATTATTTCCTGTCACGGATTGATCCATTGATGCATTCTTAACACCCGAATCAGATTTCTCTGTGATTCAAAAGTTGAGCTTGTTGTTTCAAGTGGACTAAAAATAATAACCGGGTA